GAGAGCATTGCTAAGTGTACGCAGAGGTTGGTGTGACTGAACCACTTGTGCGGTGTGGCCGTGCCTTGCACTTTACGCTCGGCGTGATCCACAACAATAGCACATAATAGTAAAAGAGACCAGAACAGATAGGCCACTGATGGTGGGGAGAGATAGCAGGTGGCGTATTGGATATTTACAGTGATTTCTTCTTTTGGAGTTTATTTACATAATTTTTTTTAAGCTACATTTGTTTCGGTATTAAAGAAATGACCATTAGATTAGATGAGAATGACTATTGAATGATATCGATTTGTCAACAACAACAAAAAAGCTAATCTGGGGATTTATTCTTACTTGCAGCAACTTTTTGGTGTTAAAAAGCTCATGTGAACCATCACATGGTACAGTATATTAAGTTAAGCTGTCGCAGTGCCGCAAGTGATTTGCAGTTTTACTGTACACAGCGTTGGGTGCATGCAAGCCGCAGACAACTTAATGCAGCAACTGTGCTCATATCCCAGCACCGTAATCTAACTATTAAACAGTAAGTGGGGGAGCAAGGAGGAGAAGACCGAAGAGGTACGCATGTCCGGTGGAAGTCATTGATGGTCTGCAAGGTTCTAATTATGTGCTAATAGCCACTGAGGAGGTCATTTGGAGCCATTAGCAAGCGCCTGTAGGTAGTTAACGGCCCACAGCATAACCCAGGCTCCTTAATGCTCCCACGGAGGCCGTTAGTTCACTGTCACCAAACGGCAGACGCCTCATTACCATGATTAGAAACCAATTGATAGGTAATAGTAAAATATGATGGCTCCCTTTCACAGAAATATGGACCTTAAAGAGGCGACTCTGTGTTTGAGCTGGGACGAGTGTGATGAGTACATGCTAAGGGACTTTGTTCATCATTTTCAGTGTGCAGTAAAAAAAAAAAAAGTAATTTTGGAGTGGTTTAAGTTGAGTCTCGTGAGTCATCGTTCAATCTTTTGCTTTTCCGAGTCTCGAGACTAAGCTTAAGAGAAGCCAAAGTTATAATGAAGCAACTAAGACATTGATTAGCCAGCTATTTTCCCCCAATGCTAATGTTGTTGTGTTGTTGTACTGTAGCTCCTCTTGTGAAGCAAACTCTCACACAGTGGCTTCTTTTACTAAGAGATATAAGAGTGATGGATTCTCAAAACGGCCTGGATATTTTAAGCATGTAATCATTATTAAATATCTTATGCTCAACATTGTTAGTAATCAATTTGAGTCAGATGTTTTCGTTTAGATATATTTTGTCTCCCCCAGCCAGACATTGATTCAGATGATTTAAATTAGCATTGGTCCAGTTATTATCAGTCATAGACATTATACACTTCTCTCAGTTCATCAACGGCGGGTGGGATTTTGGAGAAGCGTTCAGATGCATTATCTAAACTGTGGCCTGAAGAATATGGAGAGCGTACAAACGCATAGTCTCATCAGATGCTGAAAACCTAGAAGTCGGCTCTAAATATTTGCTTCTGTAATATTTGACTAAATCATCGTCAGACTTGTAGATCCGCCACACATGTATTCCACTCCCAGATGAAGAGAAAGGGAAACAGTAATGGAGTTGAGAGAGCTTCGCAGAGGGCTCACATAAGGGACCAATGTATCAGATCCTGATGAGAGGATATGGAGTAAATACGCCATAGAGTGTGTTTGTTATGCTAGTGCGCCTAGTTAGCCGATGTCATACTTTAAAGAGTAATTGATGTGATTCTTAAGTGCAATTTTAAAAGTTTAGAGTCACAGAAGGTTCAGAAAATCAGATTGTTTGAAATTGTGCTCACTCGCTTCTCATTAAATCAGTCACTGTGATCCTTTGAGAACATTTCTTCATCGAAGACCTGGAACAGATTATGCTCAGAGAAACTCAATTTAAAAAGTAATGCTGCCCCCCTCCCCTCATTCCATATGAGAAAACCATTCTGGTGTGTTTGTATGTAGATATAAACTAGGCACAACATTAAACCATCAGACTGCTCCTGGATAAAATGCTTATGCAGTCATTTATTTGCTCTGTCTTAAAGTGACACTCACCCCACAAATCTCTCTCTCTCTCTCTCTCTCTCTCTCTCTCTCTCTCTCTCTCTCTCTCTCTCTCTCTCTCTCTGTGGCTGATTAGGAGTACATCACTTCCTTGGTCATTGCTCCCTTGAATTAATTTGATAAACTTGTGAATTATCTGGACATCTGCTAAAAGATGCTAAATAGCTGCTTTCAGAGGCCAAGTAGATGGAGAGAACTAACATCTTCATAGTTTTTTGTCCTTTTCTGAACACTGGCATGTCTGTTTTAGAGGCCATACTGTCTTGGACAGATACCAGACACAGTGCTGATAGGCTCATTCTTAAATTCCTGTCAGAAAGAATTTTGGAGAAACTATCATACCCAGCCATGACTGTTTTATCTTTCCATGTAACTACTCAAACCTTGAGTCATTTTTTTCTCTCTCCTGTGGCTGACACTTTGTTAGTGGTTATGAGCGTGTATTGAAAATAACATGTGCAGTGTTTGCATGCACTTTGATGTCTTGAAATATTTACACTGGACGTGTGTGGTCTTGGTCTAATAGTATAAACAAACTCTGTGGGTTACTCTCTGAGTAGTGTATTACCCACAACAGCTTTTTCTGTGTCTCAAAAAATAACTAGTCCAGCTTTAGTGACACAGAAATGCAAAATGAGCAGCCCACGAATCTCAGCTTTACTGCAGGAAATATTAGTATTATATCACTAAGGGAATTGACTGACTGTGTGAATGGATATGCTGTCCTGGAGTTTGATTTAAAGCTATTTAAAACAATATTCTTAATTATTTCCTAATATATGCAGTTTTCATTACCTCATATTAATTGCGAATCTACATGGATTTTTTGGTACTTTAAAATTCATTTGTCACACCAAAGGAACATGTAAAATGAACTAGTGAAATAAAGAAGAAAAAAAAAAAGAGTCAAACGGTGAAAAAGATTTAGTCTAGATACAGTCAGGGCACTTTAAATATAGTATTTTAAGCATCCACATATTTGAATTAAATAAAAAAGCCCATTAACATGTTTTGTGTTTGTGATGTAACCAGTAAACAGGTTGCCTATTGTTAAATACACAAACAAAAATGAAGAAACATTAAACCAGTTCACTACATTTTATTAACTAAAAGCATCATCTTTCAATCTTTCAGGGACAAAAAAAACCCCCACCAAAATGAAACGATGCCTTGAGTCCTCCAAGGCACCACTAGTGCACCTGTTGCTCGCGGGCAATGTGGAGTCACGTGACTTGAGCCGTCAGGATCTTTCGACCTTTTGATTCCTGATTCAAGTTGATATTTGCGGAGACAAAATGATCAATCTCGAATGCTGCCCTTCCAAACACACCAGACAACGTGACAATTTTACCTCATTCTCTTCCTTTTCCACCAAAATCCATAAAATGGATGGCAGCCAAACCGAACGCATACACATTTGTTTGTTAGCGTAAAAGCCACAGAGAAGTAAACAGACAAGAAACACAGAGGAGAGATTCACTTTAACAACAATACAGCTGCCCTGCTTTATCCGCAACAAATTTCTTCAACTTAATTTAACCCCAAGCACTTAAAAATAAGCGTTAAATATACACACTAGTTCGTGAAGCAGATATCTGCCCTATATTGTTAGGAAAGTGCATGTTGAAGTCCATATGGCAACTTCCTTTTGACCTGCTTTCCCGTCCTCGTCGTGTATTGTCAGGCCTGTCACCGATAAAGAATCACTTGACTTGTTATAACAAGTTCAAAAGAAACAGAGAATCCATGAAGAATTGAGTAAAGGAACACCCCTACTGCTTTCGCTATCATTCCTATAGAGATAGTGATATTATTGATGGGATGGTTATGCTAATTTCTTTAGAGGCACAACTTTTATTTTGGAATTTCTTCAAAAAGGAATTTCATACACATCAGACTGGAAAATGCGGGCTGAATTCCTGAGCGTTTAAGGGGCAGCATGGGAATCTGATTTTCATAGTGAATAATGAATGTGCTATCTTTTAAAACGTGTGTTTTGTCTGGAAAGAAAATAAAGAGAAGGCGAGCCTTTGCCTTTGGGATTTAATAACGATTAATGCTCCTTTGAAAACACTAAATATCACAAACACACCACTGTGTATAGTGAAGCAAACAGAGAAAGAGGAAAACCTTCCTCTGTACAACTTGTCACATGATAAAACACTTCTCTGGATCCCGTTAGGAGCATTAAGGCTTTTGTCCTGATTGTGTAAATATGTCGTATCATTAGATGTCACCAGGTCCTAATACAGAAGTCATTCATAATCAGTCTTGATTTGATTTTTCTAATTAGAAAGGTCCTGGTGTAAAATAACTGTGTGATGATGACTAACATAAATACATACAGATATTAATATTTGCTATGTGAATATACAGGTCTATTATAGGCCTATTTTAGATTATAGTAATAGTTAGTTAAATAAAGATCTTTCATTTTAATTAGTTTTTTTTTGTTTCACACGTGGAAAATGAAAAAGTGTAAGTAAATATGTTTTTGTTTTGTAATAATAATATTTATTATTATTCTATTATAAGCACCTGCTTCCCCCCTTCATTCTTTTGATTTGCCTGATACATAATCAATCATAATCAATTAACCAATCTAATATTCGATTGATAGCCTAATCAATCAATCCATCAACTCTCTCATTCTTGTCCTTTTATTCAAAGTCACGCGTACTCGCATTCCCACTGGATATTATTTTATCATTAGCCTATTATTATCATTATTATTATTACCAATGCGCTCCCATAATTACAACACAATCATTATATAATCCCACAACAAAGAGTTTATTGAAACAGTAGCTTTTTGTCAACTGCCGGGACACTGAATGTACAATTGCGTTATTCTGCGTCTCAGTCTTCGCGTAAAAGCAACATCGGCCTGAGCGCTGAAGTTCAGCCCCAAAAAAGTTTCATGTCCTCGCAGAAGTACCTTTTCAGAGGACCTTCTCCCGCGTCTCTGAGCGCGTGTCTCGACCGCTGTCTGGACCCCTTTTCCTCTTTCTGTGATGAAGAGGGAGGTTGTTGGTTAGGCTACGCGCCCCGCTGAGTGGCAATTGCATCTCATATTTACAAACTGATAAGCTTTCTCGCGCATTTGTTTTAAATATACGCTCCTGTGTGACGCGTTAGCAAATAAGAGTGGAAAAAAAGCGCTTCCCGTCTTGGCCGGTCTCTGTTTGTGTGCTTGTATGTGTGTGTGTGTGATTGTGTGCAACATAACCGGCTTATTTACATTAAATACGCCACAAGGTTACAGTGCAGATGAGCGTCATTTTATCACTCATTACTTCTCTCTTATACTGACTGATGCTCGCGCTCTCCGCTCATCTCACTGGACTTTTTCTCGAGGATACAAGACTTCAGATACTTTCCCCAAAAGGTAAGCACATTTATTTTTCAATTGTAGCTATTTGCAGTGTTTATCCGCGGCGTTATTTAAACGGCGACAGGCATCAAAGCCAATTACGCCTCGTCTGAATAACGGGACTGACAATGTGAGTGAGGATAGACAGATTTTAATAATTGTTCACGGGGAAGTCAAGGTCAATAAGATGATCCGATGGAGTCAAATTTGCTTTTGAGTCTCTCCGCGTGGGGAAAATAGACGACTCGATATGATATTTCGTGCACCGGGGCTGTTTTATCAAGGGTTCAAGCTTTTAGTCCCATCAAATGCCGCAAGACTCTCCGCTCTCTGTGAATGGACGACAATGGAGTGCCTTTTTAACGGTACAATGCTTTTCACCGTCCAGATAGGGGGAGTCCGAACGGACAGATGAGGGGAAATGTCTTGTGATGCTGGCCGATCGCTATCAATGAACGCGTTTATATTGAGATTAAACTCAAAGGCGCTTTTTCATCACTCGGGATGCGCGAGGAACAGTTGGGAAACGGATTCGCGAGAGGACGATCATAACAGGTCCGAAGCACGCGCGTGTGTGTTTGTGTGTGTGTGTAGACTATATACTTTAACCCCATCAGCAGTAGGCTGTAGGAAAATGATCAGCTCAATTATGTGGACATGCTTTATTATTTAATGAAGACATTCTTTTGCAACGCGTCTTGACGTCCGGATGAATTTAAAGGTAAGAAGTGGTTAGATCTGTAGTGGATTCGCGGGTGGTTTTCGCTCGAGTCGCTTTCTAAAAGTCAGTTTGTGCTAAAGATGTGTTATTATATTTTTCTATTTGATTGAAATGCATGCAATGTTAATTGTCTAAGACGTTGTCGCGCCGGATAATAAAACGTCCTCATATCGAAAGCGTTGCTGTAAGCCATTGCACGCGCTTAGATTAACTTGTTCCGAAGGAAAAACACGCCGTTGTATCTTATATTTGGCTCTTATAAGAATAACTTTATTAATTAAGTGTAAAGACACATCGTGCATTATTACTGTAAGGTGGATAGAAGCTTTCCAGGGATGCGCATCAGACTCGCTCGGGCTAGCCAGGCAGAGATATGGAGCTGTAAGAAAGTTTCCTCAAATCTCTGCTCAAACTTTCTCACTTCAGCCCCCAGGGCTTTGCGTTTAGGATTTCAGCTGAAGTGAACACAGATCGGTTGGAGAATTAGGATCAAAGTTACCCGGTGCATGCCATGTGTCAAAACTTGTGAGATGGAAGAGCCGGTGAGACCTGCCATTTTGTGCTGTGATCGACCTCTTATGAACAGAAGCCTTATGATGGCATTCAACAACTGAGGGCTAAATGTCATATCAGACTTAAAAACCTTTTTATCTGCGGAAAAAAAAAACAACTCGCACATCTCCCCTGGAAATGGAGATTTGAACGACTGTTGCGAAGATTGTCGCTTGGGGAAATGATGTATTACGGAGGGGGAAAAAAAGAACAAGAAAGTTGCAAGAATTGGAGATTAGGATAGGAATGCGCGCGGGAGTGCGGGAATAATTGAAGAACAGATAAAATGTTGTATGTTTGCAAGATTGTGAGCTTCGTTTCGACACACAATACAATCATTCAGCTCATTGTTTTACGCATATTTTGTTACTTCAAAAATTATAACATTGCCAGGGTCAGAATTATAATAGGACACATTGCATCAGGCATCTATTGCGCGCACTTCATGTGCTTAATTCTTTATGAAAGGTCTTTATACATCTAGCAAAATTGATTTGCTATCTCAAGCCTTCAGATACAGGTGGAGATTTCCCATGTCACTTTATATGAGATGACCCAGAACTTTTACTAATGGAAAAGAATATTAAACACACACACACAGAGAGACACACACACAGTCAGCTACTTTTAGTTTGTATGCATCTTTGATTATGTTGAAATGAGATAACTGTTTTTTCCTCAGGTTCATTGTTCATGGAAAGGGACAAATAGCAGGCGGCACAGATGTACCGTCATTGTTTAACGGATATTATGTCTGTAATAGTGTCTGGGCGTAGACATTTTTGTCAGCTCTTTTCATTTTTCTGATTTGAAATGACGTTGTGATGTAGGCAAGTCACACGTTCTTTTCAGAATCCCACACAATTCATTTGAAAGGCCAGCATTAACATGACCACAAATATAGCCTTGTAAGCCCCTTTATGAATTTAAATAAATAAATCAATAAACAGTATGCTGGATTAATGTGGACAGTGAGAAAGAGAGAGAAAATAGTCATGCATAGTGTGTGTTTACAATTGATAAGCCATCTGAATGAAGGTTATTTTATTGAGTGAAACGCTTGATTTATTTAACAGCAAGCTTGGAATTGTTTTTCATTATAAGCTAACGTAAAAATATTTTCTGGAGTTTGATGCTAAATAATGCATGTTGTTTTAAAAGTATTTGACTAATTAGCAAAATATTAAAAATAGCTGCAGCACGGGATACCTACAGTCGAAGAGGTGTTGATGTTGCAATTTTTGCTGATTGCTGCTGTTTTATTTTTTCATTTTTTTTGGTGTGTGTGTGGCCTTATCTGATATATTATCAGCTTAAAATGTATATCATGCTCAGTAAGAATTTATCATCTTTGAGACAAGGAAAAAGGAAAGGAAAAACTTGGGGAAGGAAAAATATCAAACTCGTTTAAATGCAGCGAGAGAGAGGGTGTTATGGAGACTCTTGTGAATACACTCTGCCAGTGCAACTGATAGCAGTTCGATGGGGCTAAACAGACCAAGCCAATCCTGTCAAAATGTCTCCTCCCTGGTGTGTACGCTCTCATTTACATATGCGTCTTGCACTCATTCGGCAGGGAAAGTGTGTGTTGTGTGGCAGAACTTGGCAGCGCTCGAGAGCGTTAGTGTGTCCCTAGGTCGGCATGCTCGCCGCCCGCCGTCACCAGTAAACCCCGGTGTGTGGAAGTGCACCTCACCAGGGCAGTGCCAACGGGCAGGAGAGACAAGCCCTCTCTCTCTCTCTTTCTCTCTCTCTCGCGCTCTCTCTCCAGGCCTGTCAGTCTCCAGCTTAGCCGGCTGGATCTGTGCTTTAGCCTTGGAGACTTGATCAAACAGCCATTCCACACTTAAATGCCTCCCCGCTCCTTTTAATTGGAGGAAATTGTCTTCCAGATGCCCAGGCCCTAGCCAGGCAACTCAGGGGGGACAGTGTGGCAGGCAAGGCCGTGGCGTTTAGGTATTAATTGATATGTGATGTGGAGACACCGACCTCGCTCCTCCACCGAGTCGTCGCCCTCATTCCCTTCATCTCCGGCTCTGGCCTCTCAGGCCTCTCCCATCGTGGCAGTGGTATCCGAAATGCCAGGAATGTTGTGTTTTTTTTCTTTTTCTTTTTTTTTGGGTTAGGTGATGCTGTTGACTTAACAATGTTAGTGACCTTGATTAGGAAGGTGATGTTAACTTCTTTATGGATGACATTTTCAAATATTTTACAAGTTCACTCTTAAAAATAAAAGGTTATTAGGCATTCAAATAAATTTTAACATTAATGTAACCTTCCCATTGTACAAAAGTTCTTTATAGATTTATTAAAATATTATTTACACTAAGCACTGCTCACTGATGGTGCTTCTATGAATTGTTGTGAGAACTCCTTTTTGGAACCTTTATTTTTAAGAGTGTAGAATCAATTGCAAATCCCCCCATTAATGTTGCAAGTGAAATTACATCCAAACATCCACATTTTCTGGATAATGTTATGGGCGTGGTTCAGTATAGAATCCACCATCCTCTGAAAGTACATTTAGAAAAAGAGTGCCTCACATTACTCCTATGCCTGTCCTCTCCTATTGATTAAGCGCATAATTCCCTGTCATTCAATATCCGCCTGTGTACAGGCGAAGACACAGTTCAGCATGTCACTTTACGTAATATAAATGGGAATGTTCGGTTACTGACAGATGTCAACTTTTGTATTTAACAAATAATTATAGTGGAATAAGGACATTTCGTTATGCACATGTCACTTATAAATGAGTGATGATTTCTAAGGCTTTTCGTAGTCATTCGAAACAGACAGAGAGAGATAGAGAGGGGAGAGGGTAGAGGAGTGGAAGTTTTTTGAGCGGGCTAATCACAGACGTCAGTCAGTGTGTGATCTAAGAATAAAGAGTGCCCTGACAGATGAGGTGGTGACGGATGATCTTGTCTCCACTGCCTCATGCCAGGGTGCCACCAGAAGGAGCGTCTGTCTGTCTACGGAGCAAGAGAGAGAGAAAAAAGAGAGAGGGGTCCTTGCTCTACTCCACCCTGGGGCACTTTCCATGAGGAAAATATATAGATAGACTAATGGCACTGCAATGAATATCAAGCATTGGAAGGGAAGCATACGTTACAGTTAAACTTAGCCCATGCGCAGATGACAGAGGCGAACAGATGTGTGCAGATGTTTTGTATCCCTCTAAATTTTTTCCCCCTTTCTCATAATTCTCTCCTGTGGGAGAGGGAATGGGACAAAATTCAGCCCTCCAACACCACACACATGCTCACAGTCTCTCACACATCTCAGAGAGAGAGCCTAGAAAGGCTGTGGGACATTTGGTCAATATGGAGAGTGTTGAATCGGTCAGGTTTACACAGCCTTGGGAGACATGGTCAGCCTTCGGCTACGGCCTTACTCATTTTCCAGAAATGGGACACCTATTTAGCCGTCCACTCACAAACATATTATTTATTTATTTATTTATTGATAATTTCTGAAAAATTAAGCAAACTTTTTATTACAAACAAACAAGTAATTCCGATGTCCTATATGGCACCGCCTAACATGACGGCGTGTTTTTCAGTAGGTGAAAAGCACAAAATTACAGCCATATCATCTCAGTAGACAGGGGCTTTGCACAAACAATTGACTTCCTGTCAATCACTGGCCTTAAGCACATGCTATTATGTTGTTTTGCATTCTAATCCGAGCTCTTAAAATAGTGGTAAATATTTGCAGTGCTGCAAAGGCACCAAAAATAGTAGCAGATATTCTAATGGCTGGGTGGTCCGCCGTTGGAGCGTAGGGCATCTCTGTTACAAGATGTCTCCAGATAATTGGGGGAGTTTAACAACGCCTACCCTTGAACTGTTTCCAGGTCGTGACCCCAACGGGTGCACCATCCACCCCGAGTGTGAGGGATGGCAGCCCCCTGGAGGGCAGCCTGGTTAAAACGGACGCCACTGAGAAGTAAAGAGGGACCCTGCACCTTTAATTATGATCAAGAGGTTTTCTCCAAAGGACGGAGGCGTAGCAGTTATGTTGCCTCGTAAATCTGCCTCAGATGCAGTATATTGTGTTGAACTATTACGGTACACTATTATACTGCATATTCAACTGGCTCTTCAGGACCTGATTTGCATAATTGGATCTTTAATGAAACTTGCCTTGTGGAACAAAAAAGGGAAAAAAATGAGGAGAGAGATGAAAAAAATACATTATAGTATTATAGGCAAACCCCAGCGAGTATTTGTGGTGGGAAGTTGTCTAAAAAAAAAAAAAAAAGAAGAATACAAAACCGAGCGAGAACATGGAAAAAAAAGGAGCCTGTTTAAAGCAGCGCATGAGCAATGAAGTGACCTACGTTATGTACGTCCCGTCACTTACTAGGACGCACACACACATACATCACTGGCGGGGCTACAAATAGGATGAGAAGTACCTCTGAAAGCTGTACATACTCAGCCAGGTCTCAGGGGTTATTACTACAATAGCTGGATTTCTTTAGCCTGAGGGATTTTCGCTTCTCTGTCGGCACTCATTCCCTCCACTTGTTACTCAGGGAAGATGGGTTCTTTGTAGGGAAGCCCAAGCCGCTCGCTTGCTGGAATTCCTCTGCTGCAAATATTTTGACAATTTCCAGTCAGATCTGCGTGGACTGAGTTTCTCGTTCGCCCCCTCCACTAGGGGTGCCGTATCAAAAGCTCAAAATTTCGTTTTTAATCTCTGTAGCTTTGCTGCAACGATTTTACACAGATATATTTATGTGTTTCCAGACACTCTATAATCCATAACATCTGTTTCTGGCTGATTTGTGACTTAAAATTGTTTTTTATTGGTTAATTAAAATGCATGTGTCTTTTCTTCCTGTTCTTGAGCAGTTGAAGGTTAAAACGCTGATAGTGACCCTTCCGAACAGACGTGACAGTCATGGTTAATGAAATGTTATTTGTCCTATCTTTGACGGGCCTATAATTTAAAAAGTGAAGGAAAGAAAAACCGAGAGCAAAGGAATATGAAAAAAAAAAATAGAGCTGGGGGGAAAAAGGAAAAGAGGCGAGCTATTTAGCTGCACTGTAGCAGGAGTGGTTTGTATCCAGGGGGGAAGAGTGTTGTTAATCAGGGAGAGAGGTTAAAAACGGATATTAGCTAAACGATGATGATTTATCATTGGAGGAGGGGGCCGAAAAACACAGAGGTGACTCCACTCCAGAGGCCTGGGAGTGGATCATATGGCTGCGTGGTTCACAGGTGGCTATTAGCGCAATGTTGGAGAGGGGCGGCAAAATGAGACAGAAAAAGAGGGAGGGAGGGTGTGGAGAAAAAAAAAAGTAGTGCCACAGCTAGCGGCGAGTTGCCATTTACCCTGTATGTGCAAACGACTCTTTCACTTACTCTCTTTTTCCTTCTCCCTCTCTCCCTCTTTTTTTTTATATCTCTCCACGCTCTGCACTTAGGAACTTTCAGCTGACAGTGTGTCCCGGTCCTTGGTATCTCACAGGTAGGCTCATGTTATTTTTACTCCCTCCCTCCTTCCCCCCAATTTCCCCCTGAATACGACCCTTTTATGTTTTACACACACCACACTCACACACATGCTCACGCACACACTTGCAGAGTCACACTAACACACGGTCAGAGTGCTTGTGCTGTTGATTCTCCCGGTAATGATGTCATTGCGATAGTGGAGGAGAGCAAATGTCTCCTGATTCCTCCATTTAACGGCTGGCTGAATTGGCTGATAATGATAGCATTGGCGTCTCCAGCCTTACAGACAGATCAGACCCTGTGAATTAGCAGCTCCTAACCAGTGAGAGAGAGAGAGAGAGTGAGAGAGAGAGAGTGAGAGAGAGAGAGAGAGAGAGAGAGAGAGAGAGAGAGAGAGAGAGAGAGAGAGAGAGAGAGAGAGAGAGAGAGAGAGAGAGAGAGAGAGATGGCATATGGAGGGGAAAGAGGGAAGCACTGGCACTAGGAAAGAAAGAGAGCGAGAGAGAAAGATATAGATGTTGAAAGAGAGAGAGGGTGATGTATTTAACATATCTGTGCTGTGCTCTTGAACAGGCTGTGAGAGATCTGTGTGTGGCAGTGCTGATAACTGCCGCTTGATATCAGTCAGGGACATGACCGCCTGTTTGCAAAGCTCTTTAATGCCTCTGCCCGTCTGTCCTGCTACTTTGAACTGAATCATGGTCACATCAGGGCCATATCGTTCAATATCTGACCTTAAAATAAGAGTTTGTTTCAGTAGAACAGAATTAATATACTTTAAACAATTAAATGTTATTATTATTATTATTTATTTTTTTTTAAATGAACGATTGTAGATCCATGACACCTAGCGTTATTATTATTAGTTATTTTCCTCAGTGTTTTGTTTGACATTTTTATATTTCTAAATATGAATGCATCTTTCACCCGAAAGGCTCTTTTGCAAATATTGAGCGACTCTAAACACCATGTAACCGAGGACTTTTAAAACACAATTTTCCCCTCCTCCAAAATCTCGAATAGAGTTTTACTGTTTTTCTTGCGATCTTAAAGTAAATAAATAGGTCCGAATGCTAATGAGCGTTCCAAGCTTTGAACACATGGCCCTCTGTGACCGTCCGCCCCACACCCCTCTGGCCACACCAGCAATGCCACATCTTCAGACCTGCAGTGTCATATGAGTACACATACCTGCCTACATTTTTTTCCCCTTCAGAATAAATATTAAGTATATATACCTGGTTGTTTATCTGCTCATTTCTGTTACTCAGGGCCAAGGCTGGGGACAGGTCCAATTTCAATTGGTCAGCTTTTTTTTTTTTTTTTAATCAAAAGAGAATATCACACTTTGAATAGGTTTATTATTATAAAATGTATCTAAATTAATAAATAAATGTATCTTTTAGTTTAATTGTTTTATTATTATTTATTTATTTATTTGGAAGTTTTTTTTTCTCTCTGCATAATTCAATTGTTTGAATGCCATTGAAATTGAACATTGTAAGATCATAAAATGATTCATTTGTGCATTACTGCAGTGCTTGTGGTGGAGGGTTGACTAACTTTTGGATGGGAATAATTGTTTTTTTTTTTTAAATCTGATACACATTTGCTATCAGCCACCTGGTTGCTTTGTTTGTAGAGGGCTGTCAGTCCTGTGAGGAGCACTTTAAGTAACTCTTGCTGAAGGTGAGAGTTAAACAGTATTTACTTTGGGGAATTTGCCTGTATTTATCTGCCTTAATACAGAGGTGAATTTTAAAGGGGCTCTCAGAGAGAATTCCCCCGATGCTCAGCTTACTTTACACACCTTTTAAGTCTTAAGATGTGTTTCTCCCCTCCTGCTGACGCTTACCCATAACACATCTCCCACAATCTCCGCCGATTTTCACAAATCAGCTTCTTTTCCCTCTCCCCCTTTCTTGTCTGTTATTGTTTTTGTTCTCTCGCCTGCTCCTTTTTTTCAGTCTTGATCACGAAGTGTTGTTGTCTGTCTCTTAAGTTGCCCGTTTCATCTCTTTTGTTATGGCGTCTGTGCCAATCGTTGTAATTGGGAGAAAGCTAAGTTAAGTGAGTGAAGGAGAGAGTGAGTGTGGGGTAACTTGCCTTGTTACTTTCCCCACGTTTTTTTGTAAATAAGGCTGTCAGTATAGATCAGCCTGTGGTAATGTGGACGATCCAATCCACTCCAAACCCACATGACTGGAGGCTGGAAAAAAATGGAAGGCATGTTCAGAAAGGACAGCTTAGAGTTCAGTTACACTTCTGGAAGTTTTTATGCATGACTTCTTTGTGTCAGATCGACCGCCAACATCCCTTTTAACTTCTCGAGGTCAAGAGAACTGGTACGCGATTTAACCTGTTTGCGTTATTGCAGGGAAACACATTTTTAGTTCAAGTTAAAAAAATTCTGAACATTACTGAAGTGTACATTTACAGCACATGTTCTGTGTCAAGACATTTCTTGGGAGAACAAAATCTACTTATTGACACCTCAGTTTGTTTCCTGCTTGCATTCGAAAGCATGTGTATTTCACATAAATGGTGTCGATTCAATTTCCATCTGCTTTTTAAAATATAAACACGATATTTATAGTTTTGGATTTTTTACATGTAATTGTGGGTTGGATTTCGCTAAGATGCTTAAGGATTAATTAATTTCACGACGCTAATCAGAACATTATGGATATGGGCTTTTTTCAGAGCGAGAGCGACTTTCATAACAAGTTGAGCCAGCGATGACGTGATTTGCGCAGAGGAAGGGGCCTGTGGTCTGGTGTTGATCATTAACACTTTTCCTGTATGTGTGGCCCCCTCATCAGGCGGCTAAAAGATCATCTCTGTTTAAATTTGCATGATGATGGTACTGTGACCAGTCATCGTTAGATCAACTAACTAGAGAGGCTTAAGGTTGGGCAGAGAAGATTCATGATCCCCCCCTCCCCCGATCTCTCTCCGTCTTGGGAGGTCCCCTTTAAAGTGCAAACCTCAGCCCCCCTCTCATCCCGCGTCTCCAGGAATGATGATCCGACGCGATCCCGTTTCTGCGCGAGCCAAACGGGGAAGCTATGTGAGATTTTCCCCTCGGTTTATATATATTTCTTCCTCTCTCTCTCTCTCTCTCTTTCCCCTCAGTCTCTCTTATAGCCCTCACTCAGCCCTGCTGATTGCCGTAGCCTCGGGGCTCTCCGGCGCACACTACATCCCTGTGATTATATTAATGGCCTCCCGCGCTGGGTTTGGAGGCTGAGGACGGCCGGGGTAATGCGAAGCATTGCAGAGGAACAGTTAAGGAGATGGACCTCTGACCGCAGGGGGTCTCGGGATCAAGGCCCAGGTGGGCCACTGCGTAGCTCCACGCTCCCTCTGGGCAGGCCACTTAACTCGCAACGCCTCAGTGAGCGCCCTAACCACAGCCGTAACAGAGCGCGCTTGAGAGAAAGAGAGAAAGAGAAATGTGATGTGGGGTTTCTGTGTCTGCTGTGAAAAAGGGAAGTTATGAGTGAGACAGAACAAATCACACCCAGAGGCTTTTGGCTAAAACTCACAAAGCTGGCTAATAATTCTCCTCTGAGAAGTATTGATCTTTATTTGTTATTATGTGACTTCTAGGCACTCTCGCACGTTTATTTGTCTTCATTAGACTTGAACAGCACCTGCAGCATTGTTACTCCAAAATGGAGTGTGTGTATTTGCGTTATTGCATACGGAAATGTTTGTTTGCTCCAGCGCTGTGTCTGTGTGTTAGCGCCTTTATTTGGGAGGACTTTGTTATTTCTTTCTCTCTAATTTGGGATTTATTGTGAAATTGCCGTGTGTGTGTGTACATGTGTGAAATGTCGTCTGCTGCTCTGCACTGAATATATCTCCTACTTACTGTATGTGTCGGCTTGATATGTGGAGCAGGATTCATTCATGTTGCACTTGTGAGGTGGGAGCCGTGGGGGTCTGTCTCCCCTCGACTGGACGTTTGATCAAGGCACATGAGGGGTCTGCCCCGTCCCATGCTCCTCTGTTTCATCCTCTCGCCCTGGCCGCAGGATCCACGCTTTACACACTTTTGTTGTCCCGAGTTATCTAGGAATTGATCTTAATTTGAGTCTGGTTATTTCTCTACCGTCCAAATGCGCTTTTAATCAGTGTAGACAGTTAGTTATGAGCAAGAGTGAGGTACTCCGCACCTAGGGCTGGATCCTAAATCACATACTTCCCAACTATATATTAGACGAAAAACAGTATGTGACAAAAGCAACGCATTCTCATCCTTTAATGTCATATAGAACGCTATATGACAAAACGGCGCTATACTACGCACATGGCACCCGTTATCGTTAATATAACACGCGCTGTGAGGGCTAAGTTTAGGTGTGGGGTAGGGTGTGCGTGTCATATTAACGCTAAAGGATTTATAACGTCTTGGGTTCGCGTGTTATATTAACGATAACGGGTGCCATGTGCGTAGTATAGCGCCGTTTTGTCATATAGCGTTCTATATGACGTTAAAGGATGAGAACGGGCTGGACAAAAGACAGCTCGTTCTCATCCCAAGGCGTCATCTAACTGATGCTTTTGACCATGCGTCAACATCTGACCCGACGCACATGGCACCCTTTAGCGTCAACATGAGACGCGCCTCCTAGTGGTCTAACCCTACCCCAGACCTAAACCTACCCGCGTCATCTAACTGACGCTAAAGGTTGCCATGTGCGTCGGATTTAGACGCATGGTTAAAAGTGTCAGTTAGATGATGCCCTAGGATGAGCGTCATCTAACTAACTTACGCTAAAGGTTGCCGTACACGTCAGATTTAGACGCATTGTCAAAAGTGTCAGTTAGATGATGCCCTAGGATGAGAATGCACTGCAAAAGCAGTATGTCCAAATTTACAGTACTCATAAAAGATTACAAAAAGTACCTACTACTTCCGGCAAGATTCTGAAGTTTGCATACGATGGACACTTTACCATCCCACGAGGCCACGGGAGAGGATGTATGAATGGCAGTGAAGCGACA